GTACACCCACGGTAATTAATTCTGTCCCACGGAAATTTTCACAAAATAAAAAATGACCACCTTTCTATATTAATTGTCACCATCTATGCACGATTAACGTTACGACTGAACCTTATCGTGCATGAATAGTGATAATTAATACAGAAAGGAGGTCACTTTTCATTTTGTGAAAATTTCCGAGGGACAGAATTAATTACCGTGGGTGTACATCTTGCACAATTATATTTCCATTAGAATGAAACAGAGGCAAATCTCCGTTCATTATGAGTTCATGTCTTCCTTGTATTAATTTCTCGTACATTATTTTTGTATTAATCTTTAAAGGTTTTGAAAAGGTTATGATACAAGCTGGCACAAGACAAAACACACCGGGTCACACCAACTCCCCTTGCTTTTCTGTCGGGTGGTTTAGTGGCACACGGTATGACTCACTCGAGGTTTCCGAACGATCTCACACTAGTGCACACCGAGTACACACGAGTATTTCCGAACGGTTAGTGTGTATCAGTGGCACACCAGTGTGTATTTCCGAACGCAGCTTTAGTATGCTTGAAAAAAATTTTTTAAATACTTATATAAAAATATATACTTTTTATATATTTTTATATTTTTACTATATTAAAAATTATTAAATATTACCTGTATGAATTAGGTGTTGCCATCATCCAAATTGTCATTAACAATTGTTTTTCAGGAGATATTGGTAGTCGTCCAAATTTGTTTGAATGTTTATTCAAATGAGGAGTTAATAACTCCAACAAAAATATAAATGTAGTACGTGTCATTCTATATAGAATAATTGATCTTTGTAAATTATTAAATATTTAGAATTTAATATGTATTTATTATATGCATTTAAGCTCGATCGTTAAAGGCAATTTCTTATTGGTTATATACTTATATTTAATAACTTACCGAAAATGCATTTTAAAGTCCATATCTGAGTATAAAGATACAATATTTTCTACATAATTTTTGCACTTTATTTTAGAAATCCGAGGATGCATAATCAGTTTTTGCAAAATTTCTGTATCGCTATCACTATCACTTGATTCATCTTCATCTATAATTTCGACTAACATAGTTGCAATAAATACAATTATATTGTCATTGAGTATTTCACTCATTGTTTACGAAAAACAAACAATATTAATAATATGCAGTGATCAGTGGATGTATAATAATTTCTCTTAGAAAGTTCCCTCGGATGAAGGAAATAACATGTTTTCAGCCCTAACCTTTGGGCTATAAGTTGAACGAAGTGTACTGCGATAAGTTCCGATTTGTAATGTTGCAACACCTCGATAGTTCTCGAAGTTAAAAGGGAACGCTATTGGCAGTACACTTCTTGACGTCATAGCATCAGTGGTTGCTTTCCATCTACGACACAGCAATCACCTCATCTTTATTTAACATTAGCGAACGACGAGGATGCAACGATTGCCGTGTCACACCGTGTCACTTCTGTGTCTCTTGTTGGATAATAATCTTATGCGTAGATATTATTTTTTACATTAAAATAATCCAGATGACTTATGAACGTACTTCTTATATCGTACATATATTTAAAATGTAAATATTCTAAAGCGCCAACCGAAAATTAGCAACCATAACCAAGAGTGTCCGACTATGCTTTTCTGCTGTGTCGAATCGTGTCGTGGCGTGTCGTTGTTGGAAAGCACCGCGTTCGACACTGTGTCGATGTGTGTCGTCTAAAAGCCTTGATGGAAAGCAGCCTAAGCTGCTGTGTCGAATCGTGCCGAGGCGTGTCGTTGTTGGAAAGCACCGCGTTCGAC